TTCCCTGGGATGGCATAAACCCCAGGCTCCAGAGTATTCCAGTTAGCAGGAAGCCGTGTACACTAATCAATTTGATTTAGAATGATTATTTTTGTTCATAATTTTAATGAAAAAAAAACCACTTCAATATTGGACTGCACAAGTGTTTTCCATGTTATACTTACAGCAGAAACTGAAAGTTACAAATTCCCAAGAAATTCCTGCATCAATTTTTGAATCGCATGCATTTGTTTTTAGCTATGATTATTGCAGTTAACTTTCCCTTCCAGTGGACTAATAAATGCTTGGTGTAGTAACATAAGCATTTGGATCAGTTCTGCAGAGCATATTTTGAGTTAAGTGTTATCATAGCCCCTCCTACACCACTGTGTAAAAAACTAAAGAGACTTAAGAGATTTCCAGGTGGTATTTAGCCAGCACTGTTCTAATTAGAAATCACAAGGCCTACTAAGAAAGTGGATTTTCTTAAGAAGGTAAAAGGAACATAAGGCAATTGAGATTGAATCATTTCCTGAGCGGGCCTGTTATCTTTGACCTCTTCACAGTCCCTAAAATAATCTAAATTGCTAAGGATCTCTACCTACCTCGTGCTCCTAGACAACACTGAGGGACTCTCATCAGCCTCCTCCCTTACTGCTTTTCTTCTTCCTCTGTTATATGTCACTTGCTCCAAAAACACTGTCTCAATAGGAGGGGTATAAAGTGTGGCAGCAAAAAAAAAAAATTGTAATCAGCCTAGTTATAAGACAATCTCTCATCTTAGAAAACCACCACCACCACCACATTCCCCCACCACAGCTATGACCTAATTTCTGTATTCCTTTTTTCAGCAAAACTCTTGAAATAAGTGTTCTTATTCACTGTCTCTACTTACTCTCCTCCCCTTCTTTCTTGAAATCACTACATTCAGCCTTTCATTTCCATCAGTTCACCAAGCTGTTCTCGTCAAGATCACTGACATCATCATACTGCCCAGTCCAGTGCTCAAGTCCCTATCACTGTTGGTAGCATGGACACAGTTGATCACTCTGGCTTTCTTCACATGGTCTTGAAATAAAATTTCCTCTCATCGGTCTCTTTCACCTCAGTAGCTGTGCTTCACTCTCTGCTTTGCTGGTTCCTCAACAGTGAAGAGCTCAGGGCCCATTTCCAACACCTGTTCAATCTACAATCAGCCCCCAGTTGTCTTCCTGGACCCAATCTCACCTAGCCATTCCCAAGAACGTGTTCTATATGTTGCTGTGGAGTGAACGTCAAGATACAGGAATAAAGGGAAAAAATAAAAGATGGCAAGCTGGATGTGTGCAGGAGTTGAGGGTGACTGAAAATACAAAGTCACAAAATTTAACTCCTACTCCAAAAGACCTGGGCACAAAATAAACCAGAAATTCACAATGGAGAGGTAAGAATGGAGATCCCCAACCTGTAATTTTTTGATAATTTAATTAGAAATAGATAAAGAGATACATTGGGCATCTAGGGGATAAAAATTGATAGCCTGCTGGGGGCAAGGAAAACTAGTTACAAACCAAGAGAGAAAAATGATGTCATCAGAGAAATGACAATTGGGAGATAAGGGAGTTCAGTGAAGAGAGCAGAGTTTGAAAGCTCTATAAAGCTGAATTACTTCTGATATGTTTAATGGCCTGCTTTCAAAATAACTGTGTTTCCTAATTGCTTCTACTATAAACTGACATTTATAAAGTTTTCTGTCCCTGCTCCATATATCTCTCTATACTCTGAATCTTACCATTAATGAAAAAGCTTTTTTGTTGAGAACTACTTTAACCAACAAATCTCCAAAACCCAAGAAAACATAACCGAGGATTAATAAACACAGACTAAAAAAAAGAAAAGAAAACTCATTTCATTTTTTTAAAGAAATAGACATCAAAATGAAGAACTAAACACTTGGGACACTGAGAAAAATGCAGAGACTGACCCAAGCAGATAAATCAGTGGCCCAGTTGGAATCTGAAGCAGATCTGTCTGAGTCCAAAGCTTATCCTCCTTCAATTCTACAGTCTGACTCAAATACAAGTTTAAGAAAAGGAGAGAAATATAACAGTGTAGGAAAAAACATTCAAAAGAGCAAGGGGTTGGTGGCGCAGCAAACCCCCCATGGAAGAACTAAAGAAACATCTTAAAGCAGGTACATCCACAGAAACACTGTGAAAGCAAATGAAAAAGACAGGCAGAAAGTATATCATTTAGTGGCAGAAAGACACAGACCACCTTAAAACAATTGTCCCCTTTATAGTCTTTAGTGAAATCATTGTTATTTCATTTTATTTTCTATATTTGAAGGGTAAATGGCTCCCATCTTCCTCTCCTACAGGTTTTGAGAGTTTTGTTGTTTTGGTTTGGTTTTTGTTTGTTTTGTGTTTTGTTCTGTTTAATTTTTGTTTGTTTGTTTTGGTTTGGTTTGGGTTTTTTAGTTGCTGATGGACCTTTATTTTTTTAATTTATATGCGATGTTGAGAATCACACCCAGTGCCTCACCCAGGCTAGGCAAGCACTCTACCACTGAGCCACAACCTAGCCCGCTTGGTTTTGGTTTTTTGTTGCTATTGTTTTTGTTTTTTTGTGTGTGAATTCTGTGAGTAGGAGAAATTATATCCAGGGATAGACTTCACCCACAGCCTGGAGATTTTTATTCCTACTTCCTGACTTGGGGTTCCTAATCCTTCAAATCCCATTTGTCCCCAGCTGGCAACTAAAAAAAACACACAAACACAGATATACCTTTCTGGGGAGTCAAGTACAGCTCTAAGACCTCAGGTGTCAGCTCCCATGCTGGAAGACAAGGGGAGCAAGGGAGGCTAGAGGCAAGAGAGAAAGCACACCTGAAACCCCCCTATTTATTGGGGATAAGCCATTCATAGAATATGCCACCCAAATAAGGCAAGGGATTGAGTTTCAAAGGGTAGAGTCTTGCTTGGTGAAGCCTTGCGGTCAGCAGGTTGATTGACATCTTGGAAAGACACACCCATCTCAGGTACTGTATGGGCTCACAGGCAGAGAGAGAGAAAAGGCATACACACTGTCACACAGCCCAATCAGGCAGCAACATCAATCAGGACAGTCTCCTCATAAACTCAAATGCGCATAGCTCACACAGAGATTTGCTGGCTTCCTCTGGGTGATCTAGATCATTGTCAAAGGGAGAGATCCTAAAGGAAAACACAGCTTATGGATGGCTCATGACACCCATTCATATTCACTCCCTGTTTTAACATATGCCTCACTGCTCCTGCCACCATCTTTGCCAAAATTATTTTCTGTTAATTCTGATACACATCCATCGATGTCCCTTCTTAAAACTGGTATAATACCCATTTTTCTTCAAATCTTCCTGAACCTAATTCCATGGACTCAAATCAGAGAATGTGATGAGCTTTCTATCCAGCAGCCTTCAGCTGTGAATATTCCCATACAGATCTTGATTGCCAAGTTCACATGAGCACACATCTATATTTGACTTTAGCTTTCTTTTAAAATGTTACTATCTCACTGATTGACCTGCTTTATCGCAGTTCTCGGGGAGATAGATACATATGTACATACATAAGTATATACGTAGAACATAAATGTTAACTGAAACTAAACACTCTTTAAATTTCTCGTCATATATGTATTTTCATTTATTTAATCATTGTTTAATTTTATTATTAACATATTAATTGAACATATCAATTGAAAGGAAAGTGAGAAAGCAAGAGATGGGCGAGCGAGAAATGAAGGATGGAGACCAGTCAGAGATCCACACAAAGGTTTATTTGTCAAAGCTGACAAATAAAGGCCATCCCTCTATAGAGTGGAGAGAGGCCCCGGAGATGTTTGGGTGTTCAGCTTTTGTGGGGTAGGGGTTTGGAGGTGTAGCTGTGGCGCTATGGGATAGGCTCAGGGGTGCTTGCCTCAGAGGTATGCAGGTGGGGAATAACATGGGATTGGCTTAGGTCAATGGCACCATGGGGCTTTCAGGAGTCAAGGGGTCATGTCCTTCTGGGATTGGCTTAGGGTTATAGTATCATGGGGTAGGTCACTAATGGGGGTGGAGGGAGTTCGGATAAGAGGAAGTACAGACAATCGATACTTATCTCATAAGATGGCAGTTAACATTTAAGATGGCTGTTTAGATGTTAAATCAAGACCCTATGTCAATGAAGTTCAGTGTGATAATTCCATACCTGCAAACAGCGTGCATTCATTATACCCAATCACACTTTTCCCATCTTCCTCACCCACAGTGAATTCAAGTTTCTGTTTATTTTTGGTTTGCATTGAATTTTTGTTTGGGGGAGTTATTTGTTTTGATTTGTCTTGTTTGTAGTGCTGGAGATTGAACCCAGGACCTCATGCATGCTAGGCAAGCACTGAACAACATCCTACTCCCAATAACTGAGCTTGGTGATTGGTGCTGTTTCATAGCTGACTTACTGTATTACTCTGAGAACAATTTGCCACAAATATTAAAGTTATATTATATGCTTTTCTCTCTCTTTTCTCCAAAGAAATGCACAATGGGATATGTAAAATGTCAGAAGTAGTTAGACAAAAGTGTACAATCTCATTGTGACCCTGATGTACTGTTGGAGTTGAATATTGCTGCAAAAGTTTAAAATGTGGTTTGAAGCCTATTCATTATAAACAGTACAATTTTTTTCTTTAAAGAAATGGCACCAGAATTTTTAAAGTCTTTGATAATATGAATATATCCTTTTGAATATTAAAAACCCTTTTTAACTTGAAATATAAATAAGAAACTAATTTAGGTGGCAAAATAGACATATAATTTGTAATCTGTTCATCAGAAAGAGTTTGAGGATTTAATGTAAAAAAGCATTCTTTGAGAAATAATGTGAAGATGGACTCAAAGAGAGGATTAAAAAAATATATATGTAAAATGTGTGGTATTTTATGAAATCCAAAATATTATCATGTTTTCAAGGAAAAATGTGGCTTTTTCATTCATTAACCAGTAACATTTTATTTTTCAGGAACTTTCCATTCAGAAGAAATGCTGTGGCCCTTCTCTTGACCCACAGTAAACGGTGCACAATAAACTGCGTAGCTGAAGAAATTACAGACTCCTCACAAATGAGAGACATTCGAGGCTGCATAGTCTCCAGCTGAAGGAAAATAACTAATAGCTTCTCCGCAGTGTAGATTGGAAGAAGGGGAAGATGAACCTCACAAACTGTACCACAGAAGCCAGCACCACTGTAAGACCCAAGACCATCACAGAGAAGATGTTTATTTGCCTGACTCTGGTGATTATCACCACCCTGACCATGTTGCTGAACTCGGCTGTGATTGTGGCCATCTGCACCACCAAGAAACTCCATCAGCCTGCAAACTATCTAATCTGCTCTCTGGCGGTGACAGACCTCCTGGTGGCAGTGCTGGTCATGCCCCTGAGCATCATGTACATTGTCATGGACAGCTGGAAGCTTGGGTACTTCGTCTGTGAGGTGTGGCTGAGTGTGGACATGACCTGCTGCACCTGCTCCATCCTCCATCTCTGTGTGATTGCCCTGGACAGGTACTGGGCCATTACCAATGCTATTGAATATGCCAGGAAGAGGACAGCCAAGCGGGCTGGACTGATGATCCTCACCGTCTGGACCATCTCTATCTTCATCTCCATGCCCCCTCTGTTTTGGAGGAGCCACCGCCAACTCAGCCCACCCCCCAGTCAGTGCACCATCCAGCATGACCATGTCATCTACACCATTTACTCCACACTTGGGGCATTTTATATCCCCTTGACTTTGATCCTGATTCTCTATTACCGCATTTACCATGCGGCCAAGAGTCTTTACCAGAAAAGGGGATCGAGCCGGCACTTAAGCAACAGAAGCACAGACAGTCAGAATTCTTTTGCAAGTTGTAAACTTACACAGACTTTCTGCGTGTCTGACTTCTCCACCTCAGACCCTACCACAGAGTTTGAAAAGATCCACACCTCCATCAGGATCCCTCCCTTCCACAATGATCTAGATCACCCAGGGGAACGCCAGCAAATCTCTAGCACCAGAGAACGCAAGGCAGCTCGCATCCTGGGACTGATTTTGGGTGCATTCATTTTGTCTTGGCTTCCATTCTTCATCAAAGAGTTGATTGTAGGTCTGAGCATCTACAGTGTGTCTTCCGAAGTGGCTGATTTTTTGACATGGCTTGGCTATGTTAATTCTCTGATCAACCCTCTGTTGTACACGAGTTTTAATGAAGACTTTAAGCTGGCTTTTAAAAAGCTCATTAGGTGCCGAGAGCATACTTAGATTGTAAAAAACCCAAAGGTGTGACTTTTACCAGAGCCTCATGAGTGAACGGGGGTACGGGGTACAGCTTACTAATTCTTGAACATACTTGGTTCAGGAGAGTTTGTAAGTATATGTGGTCTTGTTTGTTTGGTTTCTTTTTCTTTTTTTCTTTTGTTATTTGGTGTGCTGTTTTCTACCTCTGGTCTTATTTGTGGTACCTCATTTCAAATAAACATTATCATATAAAAACAGAAATTATATAGAAATAATAATAAAGTGAAATAGTAAGTACTTTTTGTATATTTTCTCTAGCCATTTCAGTTAATCCTGCAATTAAAGAATGCCCCCATAAATTTATTTGCAGAATTTCTTACTGCTTGTAAATCAAATATCTGATAACTTGCCCTCGTGTGGCATTAAATCTGAGGTTATGGCTCTATGTGCATACATATTCCAGCAAGAATTTCATGAATACATAAAGAATAAAAAGAAAGTGGCATTTTGTCATCTGTTCTTGGAGACCTGAGCTAAAATCATTTACTGTGACTACATAGCCTACTCTTTCCAGGCACAAATAGTACATCTGGCATGTTCTCTTTGGTTCATAATTAAATAGGTTTTCTTGTTCTCTAAAAAAGAACAGGCAATGATTGCACTTGCACTTTCTTAACCCCTTTACTATGAATATGAAACATAAGCAAATAAGAAATCATCTAAATCTACTTTGGTCAATGCATTGCAGACAGACAAATTAGGCCTTCTCCCATTCCAAAATGTATTCCAGGTGAGCCTCCCATACACCCTCTCACTCTAGCATGATTCAGGTACATGTCAAGTTTGGGGAACTTTTGGAGAAGCTTAACGCAGTGATCAAATGAGAGAATATATTATTTGAAGAATTTTGTTGGAGAATGTTACTCCAAATTTAAATTACTCAATTGAGCACTCGGAAAGAGATAAAAAGTTGAAAATCTGTTTACAGCAAAGGCCACCAATTAGGAAATGAGCAAAAATTTTGTCTCCCAGAATCTCTGTGGCTTCCACGAGAGACTGCACCCTAGGACCAGGAAGGTGCAGGTGGACCTGAAGCCACAGACAGAGACAGAGTGGGCTGCCTCAGCCCCCCTGAGCTAGAATGACTGTTCTAGTCCTGTGGAGGAACTCACCACTACAAGGTGAAGAGTGATGACAGGAGGACAGAAAACCTGCACATTCTTGTGTACTGCTCCTTGCCTCTCACCCAGGGCCTCCCCCATTTCTTCACTCTTCTGAATTACTGAGAAGGCATGGATTTGCCTCCTCACCACTTCCATTTAGCCCTTAAATCTATCCCCTCTCAACTTTTCTGTAATCTTGCTCCTTTCCATTCCCCTGTTCTCCCTCCCCCGTCCTCTCCCATCCTACCCTTTTCTTCTGCCACTCTTTTTTATTGTCATCTATTAACTTTGCTTAAGTCTTTTGATATGAATATCAACTTTCTCTGGCCCTTCATCCCCATCAATCTCCGGCTTCATCCCTCCCCTAACTCTTTCGCTTGGGTTTCTTTGATCATTGATCCACTTATGCCTCTTCTTCTCACCTTCCACTGACTTTTCCATCCTTTGCCATCTGAATGCACCCACCCAGTTCCCCTCAATCTGATCCCAATGTCACCAGTGACTTGCCAATAGGCAAATCCCATGGCTTTCCCTCTCTCCTTTTCTATCTATCATTCTTTCATCAATTGAAACATCCCATTCCTCTTTCAACCTCTGCCTTCTAGAATATTTTGCTCTCCTAGTTACCCAATTTTCTTCTTACCTCCTCATTCTTTGTCTCCTAATCCTTCATCCTGGGGCTTTGTCCTTGGCCATCACTTCCTGTATCTTCATATTCCATCCCAAATTCCACTATTTTTAACTATTAGATTCATGTAACTTTAATTCTGATCTCTCCTTCTCAAACTCCAGACCTGTGAGTTATGTCTGGTGAGCACCTCCCTATGAATATTTTACTGGTACCTCAAATGCAGCCATTCTAAACTAATGCATGATCATTTTCCCACACACAAGACTCCTGATTCCATTTTATGCCTCAGTCTCAGATAACAGAATTACTATAATTTTTGTCATTCATATGAGGGAAATGTGATTCTCTCTCTATGTCACAAGCAGGTCTCCACACTCAAATAGTCTTAATGTTTTGTCTATTTGCCTCTATAAAACTTGACATTTGTATATGCCACCTTCTTCTCCAATACTTTTGTCCTTTTCTTATCAGATTAATCTGCCTCTGGACTCCTCCACCTGCAATTCTTTCCCCATATACCTGCCAGAAACATTTTCCTATAGCAGTGTGAGGTTCTCAGAGAGCTATCTCCAGACAAGCATCATTAACATCACCTGGGAACTTGACTAAAAAATGCTCAGTCCAGAGCCTCACTCAAGACCCACTGAATCAGAAATTCTGAGAAATTAGTCCATAAATCTTTATTTTTATAAAACCTCCATGAGATTCTAATACACACTAAAGTTTGAGAGTCACTATCTTAAAGTGTACTGTTGATTTTAAATTGCAAAACTTAAAATTCTCTACTCTTTCCCCATCAGTAAAAAGTTAAGGTCTCTAGGATAACATCCAAGGCCCTTTCACTAGGTGACCTCAAACTACCTTCCTAGAGTTCTATCTCATCTCTTCTTCCCATGCACCTCATACTCCATACTCCAGAAAGTTCTGAATATTACATGTGCTTTCTAAGCTCCCCTAGCTTCATTTCTGAGCCCACAACTCCCATGTTTTCTCCACCAATACTTCAACATGCTCAAATTCAATATCTTGTCTAAAAGTCTTCCTGAGTACCTCCTCCTTCTTTCCCTGTCCCTAAGGAAGTCCTCTCTCACAGCTCTATGCTCCACAGAACCTCACTTGTACCTTTATGATTATATGCATCCTATCTTCCAATGTACTTGTTTGTGTTGTATACTGTCTTCTCTGGTAGATTGTGAGCTCCTTGAGAGCAGAAACTGTGCCTACTTCCTCTGTGTATCCCTATGGACTCTTATAGTGTTTTACACACAGTAGGCATTCAATAAATGTCTGTTAATGTGAATGAAATTAAGTTCAGAAAAGAAAATGTAAATGTGCTGACTTCTCTCATTAAGGAGATCAAACTTCTAAATCTCATGGTGCAATACTGACATCCTTCATCCCCAAAACGTAACCCTACTATCCTAGTTTGCTCCAAAAAAATGGGGATGACTTATATATGGAAAGAAAATGGATTTCTCACTGAATATAAGTGAATATCTTTTATTGGTTAGAACTCCAGCTAAGCTGCTCATGTGCTCATGCCCCCCCCGTCTCTCTCTCTCTCTCTCTCTCTCTCTCTCTCTCTCTCTCTCTCTCTCAAAAAGCCTTCCAAATATAATGGCTTAAAAAAGCAGAAGCTTCTTTCTCTCACCCATGACAGTCAAGAGATAGAAGGGCATCTTAGAACAAGTGCTCCATAAGGTTATCCACAGGGACTGAGGTTCCTTCCATCTTGTGGCTCTGCCTTCCCCATGAGGCTGATCTTCATCTGCATGGTCAAAGCTGACTCTACATCACACCCATGTTCCTGTTCACAAGAAAGAAGAGAAAGAAATGGACAACAGATGATTTTCTTCTCTGGAAGTTGTGTGGAAATTGTGCACATCACTTCTGCTTATATCCCATTGGTTATTTCTTGGTCACATGGTCACACCAAGTCAGAAGAAGGGCAAGCAAGGAAATTATCTAGCTGTGCAGGCATAAACTTTGATAAAAATAAGCAATTGGACTTTAGAATTAAAGAAGGAAGTTTAGAATGAAAACAAGTAGACAATGAGCAGCCTCTGCCATGAGGAGATATTGGTTTCTACAAGAACAGCTCAAATAGTACTAAGCAAGTCACATGGCTGCCCAGCTAGTGGTGATCTATGTACAGGGATGCGGATATTCAATTCTAGATGATTTAACCTAGATTATGCATATGCTGAAAATCCAATATTTATCATGTCTATTAATATCTAGGAAGTATATAAGCAAATCACAGTGCTTTCATATCATCCTTGAAAATCTTGACAATTATAAGAGTTTAAAACTTTTAAGAATCTAAATAAATAAAAAGCAAAAAGCAGATGCATAACTGATTTCACTTGCTCATTTTCACTTATTTCCAAATTACTTATTTCAATCACAAGTATTTCTGCCCTTACTAAAGAAATAACTGCATGTATTTCCTAATATAAAAAACTTGCTGGGGAAAAAAATGTTATTTGGTTTGCTCATTTAACCAATAGTGCCATTTGCTATTGATGACTATTTCCCTTTAAATTAAAAGCCTAAATGAAGTTAACAGTACCTTCTAGTATGGTAAGTTTTCGTAGTGCAAATATTAATCTGTTAAAAGTAAGCCCCAGGGGTGACAGATATGTCAATTGCCACCATTAGAAATTAGAACTCTGTGTGTGTGTGTTCATGGGTGTGTGTGCATGTTTTTTTTTTAATTTTTTTTTAGTTGTCAATGGACTTTTATTTATTTATATGTGGTGCCAAGAATCAAACCCAGTGCCTCACCTATGCTAGGCAAACGCTCTACCACTGAGCCACAACCCCAACCCCATGTGTATGCATGGTTAAGACACAGTCTGTGTTGCCCAGGCGGGCCACAAATTCCTAGAGTTAAATGATCCTCCTGCTCAGCCTCCCAAGTAGCTAGTACTACAGGTACATATCACTTTACCCAGCTCAGTTTTAGGATGTAAATCACTCCCAGATAGAACTGGCATATTCTTTAGTTACATCTGGTTGCATTAAGAACTCCTGTTTGCATTACTACCACTGTTTGCTTTGGGTAGTAGTGTAGGTTTTCTATACTTACGGACTTTGGTGTGCAAACTTTGCTAATGACATATGAGGTAAGTTCCCAAACAAGATTCAGCAACTGAGCTGGCTACCAGCATGAGGCATAAAGATTCAACCATCACATTGGTCTTATTCTACTAAGGTGTGTTTGCTGTCTTTGCTTAGTTTTTAAGGTTTTCTACATACTACTTTTACCTCCATTATATACTGCATTTGCAAAAACAGTGAGAACATCAGGGAAGTCAGTAAAGAGAAGCATGTGACTCTAAGAGAAATACAAGGCAACTTCTGAAGTAAAAGTACAGGAAAAATAACAACCATTGCATGGGCAACCTGAATCCATCATTTTTCAGTTTTCATGGGTCAATTCACTTACAATGTGAAAGTCATTGTGCCTAAATTATCAACTATAATCAATGGGAAAGAAGAAAAATTGATTAATGAGATGGGAAAATGTCTGAGCACCACACAGTTGTTTTAAAAGGTTTTAGGTGTTGTATGAAGCATTTTAGTTATCTCCTATAGAAAATAGTAATGACATTTTATGTTGATTCAAGGAGGCTAAATCCTGCAATGTGAAGGCAGTCTCAATAAAGAATTGCCCCA